TTTAAATATGCCCTATCCCACTGTCAATAATATGTCTTACCACATTTAAGATACTCTATTGTAATAAAGTTTGTTACTGATTACAATCCCATTTTGTTTTTGTATGAATAAAATGCAGTATCTAAAATGGTATAGAGATTATGGGATCAGCTGGACTGGGAATATCTACCTGATGATGATGATAAGGATGATGATTATAATAACACCTTACCGTATATCACAATACTCAGTGCTGCTCTTTGCCAGTTGTTGTTTTATCATCCAAATACTTGGCTGACTTTTAAAAAAAGAAGTAGACAGAAGACACTGCTTGGTTCACGTGAAGGCATCTTGCTTGTGATGAGGATTGTGGCCTTAGATGTGGATGTGCCCCCCCCCCCCCCGATTTGTTTCCAGATCATTGCACTTCTCAAATTATTTTCTGTCCTCCCCAGGACCTCCTTAAGTTTACATTTATTCTAACATTTTCAATAGAAATACATTTTCATTGCAATTTCCACTTAGCCCCTCCCCCCCAATTTCCCATTCCTACAGCTGTAACTCAAGTTGAAGATGACTGGGCAGATGATTCTTTGGGCCACTTGAATCTCCTGCATTAATCACTAAAGCCACCTTGAATGCAGGATAAAAATAAACAAAATCTCTACAGAGAACCTAGAAAATGTGTAAAGAAATATTCAATTTAGGCCTCCAGCACAATTATGTTGTCAACTGGTGGAACTCCTGGCAGACATTACCATAGAACCAAGCTGGTAGTCTAGAAAGAACATTTGTCTAGCCATTTTCTAAGTTCTCTGGAGCAATTCCATGGTATTCCAAGTTCTTTGTGAATAAACAAAACTGTGCTAAACAAGCTCAAGTAATAAGTGGATCCACTGTAATGAAAATTGAGATTCTCAAAACTATGCAGCTCAGCAAACTTCTAAGCAACTATATTTTTACATTTCTGTATTCTGATGATAAACAGCTCCAAGTTCAAAGTTACTACAGATTCCCCATAAATGCATATTATATACATTGTTGAGGTACCTATTATGATGTCAGCAAAAGATATGACTTGGATTTTATGGAATTCTGAGCAGAGGACATCTACTAACAGGTCAGATCTGAAATAAAGGGGATTTTATCCCCTTTAGTTTACGTCTTCTTTAATCTATCATCTCTTCTATCACCTGTTTTAAAGCATATTTTGATACTGTCAAGAGAACAAATATGACAGATCTAAAATTCTAATGCCTCTTAATTTCAAAATGGTTTTTCGTGTTTCCATCTTAGAAATTGTGTGTATTCACTGGTAACATCCTGCCTCTATGGTAACATGTTAGATATCATAACAGTTGTTATATAACAGCTCTAAATGCACAAAAATGCCAGCTTTCTATGTAACTTGACAACCTCGCATAATAATACTGGTACATACAAATGACACATCCTGAAAATAGTTTAGTCACTTTTTCTGGGGTGAGCATGTGACTGATGATACTTTTCCAGTTTGCTGGCTGTTGACTCATTTTCTCTGTGGTGAATGAAAGTACATATTACTCAGCATACATTCCTGAAAGCACATTCTCTTTTAACACCAACAGTTAAAGTCTCTCTCTCTCCCCCTTTTTATTTGCAATTGGATACTATTGCATTTGTGATCAAGGCAGCCAACAAATGATAACCAGTTTTTGTGTATATTTTAAGGTGGAATATTGAAACTATAGGATACATAGGAAAAGCAAATAAACCTGTTTGAAATTAACTGGTTACAAACCTTGTAAGAGGTAGAAGGCATGTATCACAATTGTTAATATCCCTGCAAACTGTGAAGGAGGATACCATATCTTTTATCCAAAGCATTCTAAAACATTGCTAGTTGTAAAGGTGAAAACCCATCAATTTAGAACATAAAATGCCCTTAAGTGGCATTAAAGGGAGGACTAGTAATCTAGATTTCTGTATCTGGATTCAAGTTTGTATTCCAGATTGGTCCAGATCAATTCAGAATTCAATGTAGTTTATCAAATTGGATCCTGAACTGAATCAGGGGCCCCATATATAACCTTAGTATTAATCCAGCCTTGCTTTCCTTTCAGAACACAATGACTTCAAAATGCTATGGGGATAACCATAAAAATCAATCACTTTTATTGTTTGAATAGCAATAATTTGATAGAGCATTTAATAAATAATAATAATAATAATAATAATAATAGTAATAATGAAACTTTATTTATATCCTGCCACTATCTCCCCAAAGGGACTCGGGGCAGCTTACAAAACCATGGAATAGTGGAACAGAATATACAAGGTACAGTAAAATACATATACATAAAGATTTACATAAACATACACACACACACACACACACACACACACAGCACATATAAACCCTTCTAATTTAAATAAAATACTCAATAAAACACAGCAATAGCTGCAGATTAAAATGCAGCCGTATCAATGTCAGCCATGTTTATATAAAAAGGTCAATGTTTTTTAGCATTCAAACAATGCACTATTTGAAGGTGGCGGATTTCTCTGTTTTTCTTCTTTGCTGGCAGATTTGTTTGTTCTGACTCCTTTTGTGAGAGGTGAAGTGGCCCACTCTGAGCTTTGTGAAACCAGAACTTAATCAAGGAAGTAGGAGTCATATACATCACTGTAGCCTATTTCCTCTTTTTTATCTGAGAAATAATTACATGCCAGGATTTGTAAACTTTAGAGGCCTAGCTCTATTTAATAACTGCAATTACAGTAAACTAATTGAAACAACATGATTTATATCCTGACCATTTAGCACAGGATCTTCTTTCGTTATCCAAAGCCTGAGAATTCATATGAAAATTTTAAGCATTTGTGTGACTTACAGACTCCATCCTCCGCCTTTTCTTTTTATTCTGTTCTCTCCCATCTTCCAGAATACTAAAGTAGAATTTGGCATTTCATCCCAGCTTTCTTGATTTGTGTGTGTATATGCACATAGCCTTTGCTGTATAATTTTATAAATTATGCTGTATTTATAAATTGAGGTATCAAGTCACCATGGTTTTACTTCATAAAAAGAAACAGTAATTTATTCAATATCCTTTAAGTCTTATGTTTCTAAATATTATAGTAAAACAAGGCGCTTTGTTTAGGGTGAGGTTGTTCCCTTTCTTGATTTGATTATACTCTTTGATGTCTTGAAAGCTTTACTTGTAGATCAGTCATTTGTCCTCAAATAGCCTATGGTCAAAGGAAAAACATAATGTTGTTGTTTTCTAGTTCTTTGTTCTCAAGTATCTTAAAAGAAATTGACAGTTTTGTAAGCTAGGGCTGGGCCAACTGATACAATAGAATGTTGGAGAAATTGTTTTGCACAGTACAGCATAAGAACATAACAAATCCAATTCATAATGAATTGATTTGATACCAGGAAAACTCCAGGTTGTGCTGCAGATGTGTGAAAATAAAATTGGGCCAAAGAAATGATAGAATTCAATATAAAATTATGGTTTATCCTACTTCAGTGATAATTTTAATTATTTCAACAATATTCAGAATTATTCTATTAACTGTGCTTATACATTTCTTCAATGATTTATTCATAATGTACTGAGAAACCGTAACTCCTATGCATTTCTGTATAACATAGTTAACACTTTTCTGGAAAACAACATTGTAAAGGCAATTAATGAGCCAGGGGAAGTTTTTGAAAACATTTTAAATTGTCGGGTAGTTGAGATCACTTGAATTATATTTTTGTGTTCCAGCAGGTTGCTTACATCTGATGTCATGAATCGGCCTTCTCATTCTCGATTTAAAAAATGAACATTTATCTAGTTTTGTAGGCATTCATAGCTTTGATACCCTGATTTGTAGTTAAAATCCATGTCTTGCATGTAATGCTACTTTTTAAAAGTAGATGTTGGAATAAAACAGCTTCTTTTATCAAAAATTAAATTCAACCAGCTTAGAATGACTTTTTCCCCAAGAAAGTACTTTGTACCAGGTATTGCCTCTCCTTTCATTTAAAATAACTTATGTTGAAGTAGCTTCAATTAAAATAGAGCATACCACATAAGTTTTGTGTGCTGAGCTAACTATTGAAGGTCTGCCAGAATAAAATCGCTCGGCTTCTCTAATCCATTAGTACTTATTGTGACAGTGTTTGTCCGGAGACCAGATTTTGTTCCCAGAATTACCAGTGGACTTACTCTGTGATCATTGTCATTAAGTGTCAACTGTGCTTTTACATGCACAGCTCAAAAACTGCAGGACTTTATTTCCTGCATTTTTCATCAAAGTTTAGCAATAGTTGTTTGATTTTAGCTCATACTTCTCAAAACCACTTCTTACTTTATAATCTAGTATTTAAGCAGTGAAAAGGAAGAAGAAATACTTAAGAAACTTACTTGGAAGAGAAACTTTAACAGATGTTTTCCATTCAAATTTGTCTAGAGGTGTTTTTTTGTTTGTTTTTAAAAAAAGCAGAACTTGGAAAGCTGTTCTTGAAAAAGGATCTCATTTGGATAAAGGCTAAGCCAACATCCCATGAATTGTTTATTATTAAAATATTTATACCCTGCTCTATTTCAAGAGATCTCATTAAATTTCATTAAAATATGTTAAATTGGTTGAAAATAGATTATTTAAATAAGCTAAAATCTATTAACAATGAATTAAAAGCAGATTTGTAAAATGTTCACGTTTTTAAAGGCTACATATAGCAGTATTTGGGTTGAAATAATAAGTCCAAAGGCTTTGGTAAACAACCAAGTTGTAACTTGGTGTCCAAGTGCAGTGAGTGTTGGTGCTGATCGAAACATAAATATTGGTATTACTTTATGAGTCCAGTCCCTTAATGTAAATATATTTTCTAATTTTTATGAAACACCCTATATCTGGTTAGGTTTTCTACATTATGATTCAACAATAACCCAATTTATTTCATTGTATATTATTTTCATTGCAAGTATATATTCAGAGCCTATTGTGTGTCTTTTTAATGTAATTTATCTCTCTGTTAATTGCAGCGAGCATGTTGATGGTCCTTGGAAGAAAAATCTATGAGACTTTTTTCAGAGAACTGAAGCCATAACTGACCAGAAAAGAGAATCCAGTTTTCGTATAATTTGTTAAAAGACCCAAATGAGCAGGAAGTACAAGAAGATTTTTTTTTAAAAGAAGTGGAGGATATTTTCTTTAAAGAAATTGGACAGGAATTTATTTGTTTTGTCACACGTGTTAGGCCTGATGGATACCATAGAGACAGCAAAACTTGAAGAGCATATGGAAGAACAAAACAGTGAAACAGCAAATGGTTATGTTCTACCTGCTCTCACTGTTAGTGAAGAAAACAAGAATGGCAGCAACAAAACAAAAGCTTTATCCAATGGTTTGCGAAAAGGTGCTAAGAAGTATCCAGACTATATACAGATTTCTATGCCCACTGATTCTAGGAACAAACTCCCATTGGAATGGTGGAAAACAGGTGTTGCTTTCGTGTATGCTGTTTTCAACTTAATTCTAACGACTGTCATGATCACAGTGGTACATGAGAGGGTGCCTCCTAAGGAGCTCAGTCCTCCATTACCTGATAAGTTTTTTGATTATATTGATCGTGTGGAATGGGCTTTTTCTGTATCAGAAATAAATGGAATTATACTCGTTGGATTATGGATAATCCAGTGGTTGTTTCTCAGATACAAGTAAGTGGTTCTGCTTCTATGTCCTCTTTTTATTAAGAATATAAACAAGGTGTAATCTTCAGTTTTGAAAACCATATACGCAGAGAAGTGTTAAGTTAATAGAACAAAGATTTCTATGAGTCTGAAGTCATGCAGTTATGGTTTCAGCTACCTAATACTTGATAAGTTTTTCTTGCCCCTGAATTACTTTTTGATAAAAATGCTTGAAGTAGCCAAGGTAAAATAAATTGATTTGGTATAACTCAGCACATTTAATTACATCTAAAGCATAGGTAATATAGACTGTAATGGTTTAGGAAGTTACTTTGGAGTAAGTCTGATTAAAATCAGTGAGGCTCATTTCTGAGTAGACATACATAAGATGTCTAACCTGAAAGCAAACCACACAGTAAACACTTGATTTGTGTTGCTATCTGTCCTAGTTTTCATGTTCTGAAATCCTTATGAATAGTAGTAGTAGTAGTAGTAGTAATAATAATAATAATAACAACAACAACAACTTTATTTATATTCCACCTTCTCTCCCCAAGGGAACTCAGGGTGGATATGCAAAAAGAGGAGGCCACGGTCACAGCTATGTGAAGGAACTAACATGATGAACTGTGCAGTTGCCCTGAGAGGCTATAAAAGCAGTAATCAAAGTAATCTAGCAATCAGTGCCAATGGTCTATATTAGAAGTTTTTCTGAGCAGTTGTAATCTCAGTTTTGCTTCTTTTCAGAGGATTTTGGCAAATCGGGCGATACAAATGTTGCAAACGTTGAAAATGCAAAGTCCTACTACAATTCTTGCTGAGGTGTCTGCAGTTGGGTCTGCTGACACACCAGCAAGAATTGTAGTAGGACTAGAGTTTGGAATGGGGAAACAGCCACTTAGATGGAAGCAGTGAAAGGACCTGGTATAAGTACTGGGATTGATATGAGCAAACTGATAGCATTCTTTAAAAAGAAACATAATCAGGGGGTGACTGGCTGAGCATGGGGGTGACTTGCTGAGCATTTGAAGTCACTAAGTTACATATGTCCCTTTATTGTTATTTTGGAAATCTATATTCCTTTATATTTTATCGTAGAAATTAATAAATTGTGTTTGTTGTCAAATATATGTAACAGCAAAAGAGCAGAACCAAACCTCCAAATTAGTGTTTTTTCATGAAGATGGCCATCTGTCAGGGGTGATTTGAATGCAACATTCCTGCTTCTTGGCAGAGGGTTGGACTGGATGGCCCATGAGGTCTCTTCCAACTCTTTGACTCTATGATGTATTTATATCGCAGCACTGAATATTCTGTCTTGAACATTTTTTTCTCAGATCGATAATAGGACGTAGGTTCTTTTTCATAATCGGAACTTTGTACCTCTATCGCTGCATTACTATGTATGTCACCACCTTACCTGTGCCTGGAATGCATTTTCAGTGTGCTCCAAAGGTAAATATGAGTGAACAAAAATTATCTTTGTTTTGATAATGGGCTGGCTTGAAATGTTTTATATAATAAAATATTCTTCAGCTTTTGTTTGCTCTTGTCTTGTTCCCTTATTTTTATCCTAGTTAAATGGAGATTCTCAAGCTAAAGTACAACGGATACTACGACTAATTTCCGGTGGTGGACTGTCTATAACAGGTTCACACATCCTATGTGGAGACTTCCTGTTCAGTGGTCATACTGTAATTCTAACACTCACGTACCTGTTTATCAAGGAATGTAAGTTTTCACTGTTCACAAACCAACAGATAGATTGGTTCTGACTTGTAAATATTGCAGTTAGCTGGGCCACTGTGGGAAAATCTATTAAAGCAGCTCTTATCGAGTAGTATATCATTCATGTGGAAGAGTTTAGCAGTCAAATGTGCTTCTCCATTCCAGTGTAATTAACCAAAAGGAAGGTTTGTATTTATATAAAGAATATTAGTTGGTAAACTGCTCTCAAGTGAAAAGACAATTTATTATCTTTTATGCAAGGGTGGAGGACCTCTTTTAGCCAAAAGGCCAAATGAATTGCACAGAAGTTCTTGCAGCCTGCATTCCGGCAATGAACAGAGCCAAAGGCAGAAGAGTAGGATCAAACATATAGGCATATGTAGCTTAAAAACTTTGAAGTCACTAAGTAAGCACTAAAGAAGCATTTTAGGTTTTTGGCGCAGAAACAACCTATTAAAAAGCTAGTTAGTTTGCTGTGTTGAGAGATAGCCATCTAGAAGTGTCCAGTTTTCAGAAATTTGGGAGCTGGTTGGGGCAGGGTCTTTGTTTTCTTGTTCTAAGGGAAATTTTTAGAAAAATTGAAATTTTATACATTAAATTATATTTTGTTCAGAATATAATTACAAATTGAGCATACTTATTTAATACTGTACACTGCCTTACTTTTAAATGCTTTCCTCTCACATAGTTTGTTTAGGGATGATTTTGAGCCACCAAATATATGAACAACTTAACTTAAATATGTTATTATTCATTCTTTAAGAAGTACTCATTTTTTTCTAGAAAAAAAAGTTGGAAATTTTTCCCCTTATTTTTTTTTACCCTGGGACTTCACATCCTTAGTGTCGTCCAGTAATCAGTTTCCCCTAGTAGTAATAAAAAAGTCGACCCACTATTCCATACTAGTTTACATATCTAGAATACTTGCTCATTATATGGATTAGTGGATAGTGCTAGAGAATGTCTAAAATGGAAACCCCTATGAACCATGGTGAAAGTCTTAGTTAAAACAATTTCAATTTGTCATTGCAAATTCTCATAAGCATTAGTATATGCCTTTATCAAGTTCTGTTCAGCCTAATCTGGGATATTCTAGCAAAGCAATGTATGTAATTTCAGTTTCAGTACACAAGATGTAGAAACACAAGTGCAAATTCATGAATAGTTGATAAACGGTTTTACCACATTTTTAAATTTAATTTTGATGCGTTGCAACTGCCACGATGTTCCAGTTATCGCTCTAATGTGGTTATTTTAAAATGTAATACATTAACTTGTATTCCCTCAGAAAGGGGGCACTTTGCCTTTGAATTTCATGAAATTCTACCAAAGCTTTTAGCAGTTCATTGATTTTTGAAGTAAAGTGCGTAACTTTTAAAGAAAAGTGATACGATTTTTTTGGCTCATTGAATTAAAGGGCCATTACAGTCAGCCCCCTACATTTGCTGGATTAGGAGCACAGACACCCATCCCCCTCTTCCCCGCAGAAGCTAAAAACCACAAATATTAAAATTGCTATTTTCTTTACCTGCGAGATCACACCTCTAAGGTTAGTTTCTCCAGCATGCCTGTATGATCAGCTTCCAGCAGATTGTACTGGAGGAGTTAAGAGTTTCCTAGAAAGGTGTTGTCAACATGACTCATTTTCTGGTAGACATTGACCATACAGTTACATTGGAGGACTTAAAGATTCCTAGAGCAAACGGTTTTAATAAAATCCATGCATAATCAAATCTGCAAAAGTCAAATGCAGAGGGCTGATTGTATACTCAAAGAACTGAAGTAGAAAATAGATTAATTTTCTTGGGATAGGGTTAAAATGATCAATCTTCACAAGTTTTTTCCTTGAAATTTCTGTAATATAGAAATATCTCCTATTATAAGATCTGAAGAGAAACCAGAATATCTCCTATTAGAATACATCTGCTTTTTAATTGAAGCAAAGATTGTCTATGTTTTTTAGCGACGGGATAGGGCTATAGTTGAAGCAAGAGCAGGTACTGTTCTATTATTTGAAAAAGAGTATAGTATACTCTTTAGTTTGCTTTGAACAGGCATCTTGCCAGTATAAAAGATGCTTCCTGTTCACAGCCCTATTTATCAATAAGTTATGCTTGTACAGAGACGCTTGTACAAGCTTCCTTCCTCCTGCACCCACTTGCAATTTATTTTTGGAGTGAGCAATAAAACACAGTAGCGTACTTCTTATTTATATGTTGATGTCATTCCATGAAGAAAACAACTTTAAAAGGGAACAAATGTTATTATCCAAAATGATAAAGGAAATTAAAGATTAGCTAATGTAATGTTTGGTATCTTCTTTGCTTCCCCAGAAATAAATTATAATTTGTGTGTTACTATCAGTTTGGTACAGTGATTTGAGTATTGGATTATGACTGGTACATGACGAGTCGAAACCCTATTTGCCCATGGAAACCCACTGGGTGATCTTGGCAAGTCACTCATTCGCAGCCTCAAAGGAAGGCAATGGTCAGCCCCTTTGACATGAACCCCTCTCTTTTTGGCAAATCTTGCTAAGAGAACCCTTAGTGTTGCCTTAAATCGGAAACAAAGTGGTTTCTAATTTAATAAGCACAAATCCAGTTGTTTGTTTAATAACAGTACATCCATTAAAACAATGAATTTCACTTGAAGATTGGACAATCAAGTTTCCATAGATCCAGTGAGTCTATTTTAATTGGGATTGATTTAGGCTCTAGTCATGGATTGAATAAGGAAGTCAGAAATATAGTACTGGTGGTATGTGCTCCCATGTATGAATGATGAAAAGATGCTTGAAGATTTCAAATTGTTGTTGGTTTCTTCCTCTGGGATCTTATCTATCAAGTGAAACTGGAATTGGAAAAAAAAACTTCCCCTATCCAACTTCCTGGAATTAGGATATGTGGTTGGTCGGATTTTTAGGTGCACAAGAAGCTGCAGGAAGGATAGAAATTACCAATATAAGCACAAGAGCAGGATTCAGCAAAAGTCCACAACCAATTACAAACACAGACCAGATGAATACCCTTCTCTATATGTGTGTGTGCTTTTTTCAATAAAGAATTTTGCCTGTTGAACCCACAATATGGTCTTGGAGAACAGGGTTACTAATTCCTGTAAATTAGAGCAACAAGAGAGGCTGCAAAACTGAAACCCAGTTTTGATCATGCTGAAGCCCCTCCACTCTTTTTCTCAATGCCACCCTACCCTCAGGTTTTAATGGCATAATTTTTTGGAACAGTTTTGTTTTAAATACACACAGAAAGTCTCCAGTTACATTAAAACACATAAAGGTAATTGTCATTTTGAGAGACACTACAGAGGGAAACAGAAGTATTTAGGCTTGATGTGAGGTCTAAGGATTTTTGTGGGGAAGGTTGACCCCTAGCTTCCACACAGTTGCTCACCACTATTGAAAATAAGTATGAGTGTGCATTTGTTTTGTCATTTTCCACTTCCAACTTGTTTATTTGCTTTGAACAGATTCACCCCGTCACTTTTGGTGGTATCATTTGATATGCTGGTGTATGAGTGTTGCTGGAATAATCTGTATTCTAGTTGGACATGAACATTATACAGTAGATGTTGTCATTGCTTACTACATAACCACAAGGCTCTTCTGGTGGTACCATACAATGGCTAACGAAAAGGTGAGTAACAAGCATGTATGTTGTAAAATAAATGTTGGATGATTTTAGCACTTCTTTAAAATATGTAATATTGAGATTTCTGAGGAAAACGAGACATTGGGGCATTTCCCACATTTCTTTTGAAAAGGTTACATGGCTTAAATCTGAAGAGTGGGTCCAGATGCAGTGCACTGGTGAAAGATGCCTCTGTCTGGTTCCTCGACAACATTGTCTCAAAAGCCCTCACTGGCCCTATTTATGTCAAGGCTCTTTTAAGATCCACATGCCTGGCAGGATATTACATCTTATTCATGGGTACCGGACATTATCCATGGATATATGAGCAAATACACAACTTTTTTGTACAAACAACACTTAATCAAAACTAACTCACCTTCACCCTTACTGAAGAAAGTACTAACTCTATACATCTAAAACTTTTGAACAAAAGAATCAACCCAAAAAATTTGGTTCGGCTTATCAATGGGTCAGCGTAAATACTGTATCTTTAGTCTTATAAAAAAGGGAATTGTCCCATTCTCTGCATAGAGTGCCAAGAGGCCAGAGCTTAGTCCATCCCAGTAGAGCCTAAAAGAAGCACCGATTCTTTCAGTCTCCACCATGATACTGCTTCTGGCCATTTTTGGGGAAAAATGGTAGCAGCCAGAGGCAGCAAACCCCGAGGAGCAGCCTTGGTTGTTTCAGACATTGAATGTTTGCCTTTTTGTTGTTAGAATCCGCCCTGAGTCCCCTCAGTAAGATAGGATGGAATACAAATAAAGTTGTTCTTGTTGTTGTTATTGCTTCTTCTATGGAATGACCCTTAACTTATCTGTGGGTCATACCAAAATTGATAACTTTGGCCCCGAAACTCCTGCTGCCAGGAAGAATGGCTTAATGATTCAAACTTTTGAAGCAACAAACCAGAGTTCCTCGTTTGCAATAAACCATGAATGGAAGGTCTGCAGTCTAGTTATACAATGAAGGAGGAGCCAAGTGGGAGCACCTGAACCATATGCTAGTTCCCTCACAATTAGCCTTAATTCTTTAGAGTATTATTTACATCATTACTAGCTGTTTTTAGTTACGCATGTAGTTGCTTCATAGTCATTGAATCTAAAGAACCATATTGTACGGAATAGGCCTGTCTTAAAACAACGCTGCTAATATAAAATGTTAGTGGAATAACAGTAATAAAACTTTAAATCTTTCACTGTTATTTATACCTTCCATATATACAAAAAATGAAATCTGAACAATAAGCAACTTTGTGGTGGAAAAAATAAATTGAAAAAAGCCAAAGGTTTTTTTTAAAACATAGGTTAGAACTTGCTCATTATCCAGATGGGAAAACTGCATAGAGACTCCATGTATTATCACTTCCAAGTTCTTTGGAGGCAGGGTGTAGTAAAAAATAGTAATAAATCTTACTTTGCCAAATTTTATTTTTCTGGCTTCTAAGTTTCTAATAAGGCAAGATAATGTTGAAAACAATGTTGAATATGAAAGAAGCAATACAATCATATTGATTAACCTGTCTGATCAACTATAGCTTGTTAACATGGAGGTGGTCTTTTTTAAAGAAAAAGTTGTCCTGCATGCTAAGTGTAGCTTAATACATAGACACATATGTATTTTCTTCTTTTATTGCAGAACTTGAAAGTTTCATCACAGACTAATTTCCTGTCTCGAGCATGGTGGTATCCAATATTCAATTTTTTTGAGAAGAATATCCAAGGTTCAGTTCCTTGTTGTTTTTCATGGCCAATATCTTGGCCCCCTAGTTGTTTCAAGTCTTCATGCAAAAAATATTCCCGGGTTCAAAAAACAGGAGAGGACAATGAAAAATCCACCTGAAGAGAATGAAGGCAAGAAAATGGATTGACTCTTTTGTTCTACCAAAACGTTGTGCTATAACCAAAGCTCTTAAGATGACTAGATTGTTAACTGAAGAAGTGGACCAAACTTTGTGCAACTGATTTAAGAAAAGACAATTGTAGACACACACAAAGTCATTATCCCTTAGTATGTTTTTATAATCCTATTGTTCAGTCCATCCCACCCCTAGATGCCAGTAGACACTGGTACTCAGTGGACCTCCTGGTGCCAAAACAATACTTCCTAAGAAGAGGAGCCAGGATGTGGTTTCCTAATGAGATTAAGAGGTGCCAAAGAACACATCACACCATCTGTTCATAAATATCACTTATCCACAGAAGCACCGAAACAAAATAACAGCTTCAGATTTCTGGAGCCTGTTTAGCAAAACCATCATAAATGATACAGGGCACAGTAGTAGTCTCTCTAAGTATATATGGAGAGAAATTAGCAAGCTGTGTTTGCATTATTCTCACTAGTGACAACAAGATCTGTGATATATGACTAATGAAACCAGAAGTGACCCTTGATCTTTTTATACTCTCTTTTATGGGAATGAGTGAATACATTATGACCAAGTAATGCCACCACAGATCCATGTACTCTGCTCTGTATTGACTTTTACATTTTTTAAAAAAGAAGTGGTTATTTTATATATGAAAATAAAACCTATTTTATCTGATGATACTGAACGTTAGAAATAATGTCTACTAATGTCATCAGAGTTCTGTGAGAGAAAAACTAATTTATTATTGAAATATATGTTAAGTCAAGAGAACTATTTAAGATTCTGCTGGTCAGTTAGCTTGCATGAATGTGTGGTGCATGTGCATAATATATTTGAGTATGTCCACTTTGCTGTGAATGCTCAAAATTTGGAGAGGCTGAAGTCACGGGAGAATGTTGGCAATTATTCAGATAACAACTAAAAATACAGCCCACTGGTCAGAAATCACAAAACCATAGTTATCCTCCTAGTTTCCCTCAACTCTTGACAAAGGACCTTGGAGGCATTGTGGCCCTCTTCCCAAATCCCTTGCAAGAATGGTCAAGTGAATGTTTGCAATAGTTTTATGTGTGGAATCGTGAACTAAAGGAAGAAGGAAAAGCCACTCTTCCTCTCTGTTCTCCTGATGGGTGCCTCCAAGGACTCAAATTGCCTTTTTATCACAGAACCCAAGAGGTACAGAAAAATGCATTCCATCCAAAATTAAGCAATTACCATTATGAATGGCCATTAACTGATTGTTCTCATGCAGTGATGTTCCTGTATTTTTGGTCATTAATTGAAGGACTGTTGGCTTTCTCGCGTGACTGTTGCTATAATGGATAACACACATGACCAGACATTTACATGCATTAGCAAATAATATATTAATTAAAATGAGGCATAATGGCAACATTTCCGCTAATCCCTCAGTTTACTAGCTTCAGTCTTGTGTAAACAGGCTGCCCTTTTTTTGGAATACTTAACAAGAAATGTTAACAAATTTTGCTGGAATTTTTGAACATTGAGCTGGATATAAACATTATTTTGTTTTTTCTTGGCATAGATTTGTGTTAGTGTGCCAAGGTTATTCACTGCAATAGGTGTGAGGGGTTTTGTTTCACTATTACCTAACGCTGTTATTATTAAATGGTCATATGGCCAATCTGCAAACGTTGTGATTTCAGGGTTGGTTTGTTTGGACAAAGTGTCTTATTATAAAGTTAACATGTGGGAGCATCTAAACATTTTTAAAGCCGACATGGCCCACTTTGTTTCTGTTTTGTACAGGAATCAAACAGTGCCATTAGCATTACAATACCTAGTAGTTAAATGTGCTGAATTTTTCTTGTTATCAAATGCTTTTATTTTAAAAAAAACTCAGTAAAAGCACCATTCAGAAAAAGCATCTATTTGAATTTTCCTTACTCTAATTAATTTTGTTAAATGATGGTTTGAAGGCTAACATTAAGTGACAAGAAGTTAATTTGAAAATTTGCCCCGAAAATTTGGCTGAAAACTGAGAATGGGGATCTATCTTTCAGAACATCACTTTGACAACAGCAAATTTTAATACTGTACATCAATACTGCAACCTGAACATGAAAGTGTGACAGTTCATTTCATTGTCTTACTTTATAGGTCATCCTTCTTCTCTAGAAAAACAATAAGATTCTTGAGTTGCTGTGAGTTTTCCGTGCTGTATTGCCATGTTCCAGATGCATTCTCTCCTGATGTTGGAACATGCTTCTGGAATATGGCCATGAAAGCCTTCAACAACACATATAAGATACATGCTTGGGCTCAGGCCAGTTCTAGGCACATTTATTTACTTTTTAAAAGTCTGCTTAGCTTTAATAGCTAAGCAGATTTTTTAATACAGAGTGATATGTAGTGCCTGATAAATTGATACATTTGATTTTAAAACCTAACATGAAAGCACATGTATTTCTATTTTTCCTTCGTTGAAAGCGGTGACCACACTCCAAAGAAATGTAGTAGAAAGACAGAAGTATGTACTAGGGCACTATTTTTATACAACAGCTTTTTCCAGATCACCTTAAGTCCAGTGTGTATAACAAAATACATGTAAATGTGTTAAGCAGTCTATACCTGGCCTATAACTAGTTCTCCTATAGCAAAGGTATAGAAAGAAACATGTTTGAAGCTGCCCCCAAACTAGACAGCAACACGGACATTTCAAAAGCATTGCAAGATTCTGTTTGAAGGAAAGGTCATGCACACTTATTTTGTGTGTTTTGCATGAACACTGACCCAGTGGTACAATTTCAGAAGGCACTAATGTAGGAACAGTTTCTTTCCACACATCCTCAACCTGATCCATTAAACTTGAAAAAACAATTCAGAGGGTTTGGTTTTAAAAGATCTAAAATACTATCTGAATTCAAGAGTACCATCCATGCTCTACAAATACTCCCGTTGTCTTGTTGCATTTTATCTTCTGAGTGTTTCAGAGAAAGCTGGACTCATAAGGTTTTTCAAAAAGAAGTTAATAAAACATCAACTAACAGTTCTATGGTTTTGTTTTTAAAACATTACTGATTTTTAGAACTTAATTTAGATTGTTTTCAAATTGAAATATAGACACATGGAGTGAAATCTACTTATTTCCCCAGCTAGAGTAAATATCAGTGGGATTTAAACAAATGATTTATACAACAATTGGTTTAATAGGTTTGTTTAAGTTAGTAAAAGCAATTGAATTTAGGCTACAGTTTGCCTTCCTTGTTTTATTACTCCTCTGTGGTGACTTTTAAGTTTGCAAATTTATTTATGAAAAGTCTGCAAGCGCAGTTCTTGAATATGTTCATTCTGGCTGGTTGGCTGCATTAGACTACATGGTCACAATTTATGAAGGCCTAATCTCTGATATTCCTATCAAATATGTTCACACTTTTCAGTCAAGTTTTTGAAATTACAAAGTCTCTGATTGGAAGTAATCCTAAGGGAAAAGCATAACATGTAAACCCCAAACTCAAAAAACTAAATCTTAATCTATAAACAGGTTTTTGAAATATTAAAATTATTTGTTAGTCCTATAAAGCTACCTTTAGCTATCAAAGCAAAAGCAAGCCATAAGCAAAGCTAGGAAGAAGCATGTGAATATTATGAAAAGGATGTGCCTAAAATCACAAAAATAACCATCATAGGGAGATAAGCTAATGTTCCTAAAAAGTAACATAGAACACATTCAGAATTACTTTCATGGTCACCACCTTACTGTTTTCGACTAGCTATGTTGCCTTAAATATGCTTTAAATGCACTAAGTTTTTTCACCCATCAAGTACCAATACAGATGCCACTTGTTGATAATGTTTTAATTTCTTTCCTTTTCTTCTTCTTCTCCAAAACTGTTTCTCTGTGATTTGGTGAAATACCTCAGAACACTTTGAAATAGTATTATTTAAAAAGCTAGAAATTTGTTTTGGAAGACTGCCTTCAAGAAGAAACATGTAGATCAGTTTAGTGTTACACATATCTACATAGGCTTTTAAGCTTGTTGTTAAAACTTAGCAGGCCAATCATTGTATAGTACTTAGTGAGCTTTTTGCCACAATTATTGAGGTTAAATTTAGTAACCTTACAAATACAGCTGACTTCTAACAGGTATCTTCACTGTGTTCATATTAAAATGTAAGTATAGATGAACCAATGCAAATAGGATCTTTGTGCACTGTACCTATTAACTCTTATTGGATGTATGTGACATTGCATTGTAGTTGAGTGTGGAGTAGTTTAACCTTTTATGGTTAGATTTGTTTAAAAGCCTTATCTTTGTCTCTTTATCCATATATGCTTTCCATTAGGAGAAATTCAATTGCCATGTTGCCTTCACAATTGCTACCTTTTATGTGTCTTTCTGGTTTGGTGCAGGAAGGAGAATAAAGATACTCTGTATTATGAATATGTATGTAATATTTTATGTGGGGAATGCAAGGTGAAGCGGTGGGAAATTGGCTTTGCATTTGTAAAATTTGTAAACGCATCATCCATTTTTTAAAAAACCACTATGAATCCAGACTATGTTGATGCAAGTTGCATATTGTTCCTATTGACTTCAGTGTAACTTAAATCAGGACTGATTCATCCATTAATTCCAACAGGACCTAAGACATCTAACTTAATCTGAAACCATCTCATTTCTTAAATAAGAAAGGCTGTTCTAAATTGTTTTTTTTTTTATAAGTTCTGAAATATTTTATCATAGCTGTCTATCTTTGGCAACATAAATGACAAGGGCTTTTAGTTTTAACTCAAAGCTGCACAACAATACAATTTTTATTAGTTTAAAGTAATTGTGGTCCAGCTACTGGTGCCTTGGGATCTATATATTGCTTCCAGACATTGATAGGAAGAGCTGGTTTGGCCACTAAAAAAGCTATACCTGGGAAAGTAAATGTGTGTGTTGCAAGAACACCAAAATCTGCATTATCAATGGTGCAGATGTAGCAAATGTTCAAGAGCTTTCAATGGTTATGCATATCATGCTGGTGTTATACACAAACACACAAATAAGCTTTTGTACTGTGATACTTCAAAAAGGAATGTGGAAAGCTACTTCAGGAAGAGGGACTATAACTATCAGCCTCCCTATGGAGTAACAGAATTTCTGGGTCATTGTGATCCCATTTCCGCGCTGCTTGGTAAAACAAAAGTATTTTGATTTCAGCTGGTTGAAGAGGAGATAGGACATGGATATAACAAAAAGGAAATGATGCAGATTCTCCTAGTTTGTCTGTTTTTACTTATTAATAACGTTTGCCATCTTGACCAGACCCTGATACTGTTTACATGTATCTCAGCATTTCTTTGAAATGGAATAATAGAATCATAGAATGGGAAGGGGCTTAAAAGACCAACCCCTTTCTCAATGCAAGATCTCCAGCAAAAGCATTCCCAGTAAGTAATTGTCTTGCCTTTTTCTGAAAACATTCAGAGGGGAAGCTCACCATATTTCTGGGCATTTGGTTCCATTGTCAAACCCCTCTCACTTGCAATGCATCCCTTCTAATGTTTAATTAAAATATATTATCCTTGACGTAAAATCATTCAACCTGATCCTACCAACCTAACCCTTCCATTTGGTGCAGGAGAGAACAATCTTGTTCCCCCCTCACTGTGACAGCTCTTGAGGTGTTTCGATTTGGTGGTCTGCAGTTGGAGGGCATGCATT